AAATTGGCCCCAAATTTCATTTTTTTGCGGATGAAATAACAAATTGGGAGATTAACTCTCACTCGGCAAGAAAACGCACATGCAGATGAATATTATTGTTCTTGCTACTTAAACTGCACGTGCAGAAGCACGTTATCGTCCTGCAGTGCCCAGTTGTTCGAAGGCCGATTAGCGCTAACCCCGGGTTAAATTTGAGTTCAAGTTTCTTTTCCTTTAGCTGAAAAACATTTTCTCGGGTAATTTTCTCCATTGTCTTGAGAGCATCCAATCGTTAAATTGTAAACAAAAAGAATTAAGCTGAATTTGCTTTGTAAGCTTTTTCAGCTAAATTCAAATTTCGCATTAACCCTGGGTTAGTTTAACCCAGCTTTGAACAACGCGACCCTGGAAGCTAGGAACCTTAACTAGGAAACCTGTGCTAAAGGCCCGCTGAAGAAATTAGAGACTTTTAACAACGACGATGGAGGTGACAGGGATCCCAGGCAGGTGAGGTAGCCCGCTCAGGTGGAGTAAAAAATAACACGCGTTAACATGCAATCTTGCAACCCCGTCATAAAAGTCCCGGGGGTGCACTTTCTTAAGATTATTGAATGGTCGCTGAGCAAGTAAACAAAAAAAATGGCGGGCAAAGGACGTATTTAGGCGGTTGATGTCCTTCTACTCTGCAACCTTCCACTGCTGTGGCTTTCTATTGTCACTTTTAACGATGCAAAGCCTCCGTTAGAGGCAGTTAGTTGAATTTGGCGAGAATTTGATGTTACACGAATCCGACCCCGGCAGGGCGTGTTACCTTACCTACCTGAGGTCCCCCACCTCCATGAGAACAGGCCCTTAAAAAGGAGAAAGAACCATTTGCCGTCGAATGTTTACGTCCTCTATAAAACGTCACACTGGAATGTTTCACACTTTAGTCGTGCGTTGACGTTAAAGAAATGCCGTACAAAAAAGCGTGATGCACGTGCAGAGTGCTCGTCGGCCCCGTCGCCGTTCTAAGCTCCTTATAGTACAATAAGCGGCGGCCATGTCTTCATACTTTAGATATCATTATAATATACTCAGAATACTCTATTTACAAGGAACTATTGGCTTTTCTTCTTGGGATTCCGTTTGTTCATCTGCTTCTGGATGATTTCTATAACACGCGGTCTGTGATCCAAAACCTGCACAGAAAATACAAACAAAAGAGACTACTCCTCAGGGACGGACCATTAGAAAAGTTATGGGGGGTGGGGGAGTACAAAAAAAATATTCGCGCAAGGGAAAATTGTATAAAAAAAATTCATACACGCCAATTAACCCGAAAAAATATTCATGCTAAGGCCTTAAAAAAATTCATACAAGGAATTTGATAACGAAAAAAAAATTCCCGCGGCTCGAAAATTCCTCCCCCCCCCCATAACTTTTCTAATGGTCCGTCCCTTAATGGGGCTATGTCACGAAAGTCAGTAAAAACTAAACTGTAGAAACTGCCACCAAATTGAGCGAAACTTAAGAAAAACCGTTCAAAACGTTGAAAGAAAGTATAAATAACACAGCAAAAAGTAGCCTGCAGACGAAAACTCGGAGGTACATTGATCTGACTCGTCCCAACTCTCTGGTAGTATTAACGTCCAAGATGGCGGGACAACGTCATTCTTGAAAACAATTCATGGATCCCGCTCCAAAATACGCCTGCTTTGCAGGCTAAGCAAAAAGAAAAGAAGGCAGGGATGGAAAAACTTGAAGATTGAAACGGATTGCAACTTATTAGCCTAACAGTGTTCAAAGTTTATTTGTTTTTGTCTGTAACGTTTGATTTAATGTTTGGGAAACATTCGTTTGACGTGAAGCTGCGTTTTTGCTATTTGCCAGTAATTTCGTAGCTTACGTTAAGTTCCATTCCGAATGTATAAGGACGTGTAATTTATACGTTTCTGGTAAACTGCCCACCTACCCCTCCTCTAAGCCAACATTTTGCCCTAAGTGAGAAGTAAGTGTTAATGTTGGCTTAGGGGAGGGGTAGGTGGACAGTTTCCCAGACGCGTATAATGATCCTAAAGAACTAGACAGCCGCGAGGACACGACCCCTTAAAGCTGTACAAGTTTTACATTTCGTTTTTCTATTGCTTTGTTTTTTGTTTGTTAAGGATTTTTCTGCAGTTTATTCATGAACCTTTCTTTACGGTTTTGTACTTCTGTGCTTCACCTACCTTTACCATAGACTTTCTCGAATCTCCAAGCTGCTCAACAACCAGTTGTGATCTTTGAATATTTCCCTGAAAGAGATTATTATTTTAGTGCCGTAAAAAACACACCAGCATGACGAAATATCCCACTGTACAAAAACTGACGTGAAAATCTACGATAACTCCTTTTGGAAACGGGGGAAAATGTCTCCTTACCTGAAGGAGTTCATTGAGCATCAGTACGTCGTCCTGAAATTTTGTTTTCTGGCCGGGTTTTGGTTTGGGAATTTTATCTCGCAAGTCTCCTAACTTTTTAAGCACTTCCTGTTCCGCAGTTATCTGAAAAATGAAAATCTGGAATTTATATTGGAGACTTATACATCTAACTAATCATTTCAAAGGTACTGAGTAGTACTTTCCAGTGGTACTGTTTATTATCCTGTATAAGGTGGTTCCAACTTTTGAGTCCGTGGATGAAATCCTAAAGTGTGACCATTTAAATGAAAGCTACTGAGCAGTACTTTCCTGTGGTGCTGTTTATTATGCTGCACAAGGTGGCTCTAACTTTTGAGTCTGCGGATGAAGTCCTATAGTGTGACCATTCAAATGAAAGCTACTGAGCAGTACTTTCCTGTAGTACTGTTTATCATGCTGTACAAGGTGGTTCTAAGTGTGACCGTTCAAATTGAAGCTACTGAACAGTGTTTTACACTCTAACTTTTGCATTTCTGGACAAGCTAAGTAGATTTTTGATTTAGGTTAGTGTGTACCAGCTCATCTATTTGTCCCGCAATGTGCTGAACTCGCCAGCCATTAGCTCTCTGTACAATTCCCTTTTGACTGGCGATTTCTTGAATTGAAGGTTTTCTCTCTTCTGCAAAAGAAAAATTAAAAATTTCACATCATACTCTTACTTTTTGCCCAGTGTTATCACAGCTTCACTATCCAGCCTGCAGAGTTCTAAAATCCTTATAAAACCTTGTTCTTTTTCAACAGCTCAAGTTGATCACATAACCCTGCACTTTCAATTTCCTCGTCACAACTGATTTGTCCTCCAGTAGCCTTAATTATAGCTTAAATTGTCTGGCAAATCTTTGAGGTTCTTTTAGTCCCGATCAATAACCGTCCTTAACGCAAACGATAAACAAACTCCATTATATGAAGCTTGTAGTTATAACGTTGGACGAAATCCAGTGGTGTGACCATTCAAATGAAACCTCTTCAGCAGTACTTTCACAAGATACTATTTATTTAGTATGTAGTTCTAACTTTTAAATTTGTGGACGAAATCCTATAGTGTGACCATTCAAATGAAACCTCTTCAGCAGTTCTTTTATACCGTACGTTTTTCTCCAATTTTTACACCATGAAAGGTGCGATTTTCTCGAACTGAGACGTAAGAGGGGTAATAACCTGGAATACAAGACAGGGCTAACCTTTGACTTTGACATCTGAGTATCGCTGAAAGTGGTTGTGTGCCGCCTTCGTGTTGATTTTGTAATTAGCGACAATGGAGATCTTGGGTCTCTTTAACAGTATAAACTTCAACTCTTCATCAGCTATAAGGGAAAAATGAGCCATCAAAAATTTACGGGCTAATTCTCCACTTACAAGTAACACTTAAGTCCACTTGCAACTTTTTAAATGCAAAATCAGTTACTCAGATAGTTAAACAATTTATAAGAACAAGAAAAAATACACTGGTCCAGTTGTTTTACGGTCATCTCGCCACCAAGACATCCTGTCAATGGTAACAGCCGGTTTCGCTTCTTGTCAAGTTCGCTATACACTGATTCGAGCTCGCTACCTGTTCTCTACGTATACTTTCTGTAACCATCGTTGCGAGTCGACTTTTTGGTAGCGATTTCGTTGGTGGCGAGATGAAAATGGTGGTGACGTCACCGGATGCTGTCCAGTTTAATTTTAAGTTATTATCTTAATGTAAAAGATACAACACTAGAATAAAAAAGAATCGAAACCTCGGATAAAGTTTTCATATTATGTTGATATCTTATAGGAAAGAGTGATAAAATATGTAAGAATTGTTTTATAATTAAGGCAGACCATAGTGAAAGTCACTAATACCTTCATCTGGTTTTGACTGTTTTTCTTCATCTGTTGGCGAGTCAGGTTCCATGTTAACATTACTACCATATTTATCTTCTGTCGCAACACTGCAATCAACAAAAAATGGCTTTTATACGCTTTTTCTTGCACAAACGCCCCATATCAAATTTATGCGACAAAGATTTTAAACACTTTGTATTTTTAGCTGCTATTCAAAAATACGTATTTCAAGGTAAACTGCATGGAGTTTTTCCAATTTTCTTGAAAAATACGCTAAACGCAAACCCTTTGCTGAGAAATCAGCAACTATATTACAATGTACTTTAGGGACATTTAGCAACGAGGATGGCAAAGGCAGCGATTAAGTAGAAACAACATTTATGCGGTGATTTAAACCATCGCAGTGATCATGTGGAAAGCAGGATTTACAAACTATGCACTTACACATTCTGTTTTCTAGGTTTCTTTCTCGGTGATGCAGCATCACCACTTGCCGCAGTCACATTTGCCAACAAAGGCGTGGAAGGAGCAGTTGTAATGGTTCCATTCATATCAGCTGTGGTTTGTGCAGCAGAAGTAGGAGCTCCCTCACTGGATGGCTCCCTCTTGACTTTGTTTGGTGACACTGGTGCAGTCTGAGTGACAGCGGGTGACTCTGTTGTTGTGACACTTGCTGTCGTGACTGCAGGCTCATTAGATTGACTTCCAGATTCACTACAAGCGTTAAGTTTAAAATTGAAATGAATGACTTTGGGCATACAGTCAAATCTCTCATAATGGACACCTATATAAGATGAACACCTGTACAAGACAGACACCTGTATAAGATGGACATCTGTACAAGACAGACACCCAGAGTTAGTCCCTGTCTTTTTTTACCCCTTCTCTTCTTGACACTGAATACAACAGACATCTCACTGAAGATGGACACATTGTGTTGGCCATAAAGGTGTCCATAATAGATGCAGAAGTATTCTTAAGTACAAGTTTCTTTCTCCTTTTACAAACAATCATTTCACTTAAGTTCATCAAGAACTAATTATTATCCAACTGAACTTTAAATGCAACTATTGCCAATCAAACAAATGCTCTAATGTAAGCATTTGGTTCCAAGGAAATCTAAGCTTTTAACCTTAGCCTTGCAGATTTATAAAAAATGTGAAATGATATACAGGGTATCTCCTGCTACAGGAGTGATCTTTCTGTCAAGTAACGTACCTGGAAGGTTTGGGCGAGTTTTGTGTAGATTGTGGAGCTGATAGTGTGCTGTCAGATCTTGGACTAGCAGCAGCTTCACTTTGATTTGATACAAGCATTTCAGCACTGAACGGCACTTGGCTGGGAGGTTTGCGCAACCTAATGGACAAAAATCTTAAGTCTCAAACAAGGTTGAACATTCTGTCCGTCTTTTATTTCATCAGTAACTATAATATCATTTTACATTTGAAGATAAATTTAAATCTGTGTTGAGCAATTAAACAATGAAATTATTATTATTATTGCAACTTCATTACATACCCAGGAATCATGAATCAGATGTAAAGGAAATAAAGCTTGAGATTTACTGATTCCATTTTGTCATATAAATCTTAGGACTCAGTTAGACATCGCTCCTCACACAAATTAAAAAATTCCTATTTGGAGCTCTGCATTTCCTTGAGGTGCTCGTTTGCTCAAGCTATTGGGGTATGACAACAAGACACTAAGAAATACAGTGAGTTATATGAAAAGATACCAACATACCCTTCTGAAGTTCTTTTACGCAGGATGCTTGGACGAGGAGAAGTCGCATTAGGGTTGGGAGCAGAGAGCTGTGCTGCAGCCTGCATTCCAGCTGATGGTGGAACATTAAAGATAGGGACACTGTAGAGGCCAGCTGCTGCAGCACCTATGTCCATGATACCGGCTGTTGCTGGTGTTTCTGAACCTGTCAGACTGGCTATTCCTGAAGCTAAAAAAGATATCATCAGTATCACTAAGAACATCAGCTACCTCTTACTGTGCTTTCCAAAAACATGTGAATTCTGAAATTGAAAAGCCAACAAATGTTTGTGTTCTTCGCTGCCGTCAATCATCATCTCTTAGGAAACAGAAGTTTCCTTGAACGAGTTTAAAAAGTCATGGTTTGTGATTGGCGAATTTAGATCTGTTTTGTGTGTTTCTGTGTTTCAAGATTCATTGCCTGTGATCGTAATTATGATTGACAGCAGCAAAAAATGTAGATGTAAGCTGGCTTTTACATTTTAGAGTTCATGTGTAATTGAAAAGTGCAGTAAATGAACCAGGTTGTTGTTTTTATCATCAAAAGCAGCTAGCCAGTCATTTGCCTTGAAATAATCAACAGTTCAGAAGAACCCCTATTCTGGTAACCTTTAAAAATAGCGTTGTACAGCCATCCCTTCCCCTCAGAAAAAATCGCCAACATATTCTGAGGGAAGGAGATGGCTGTTCACAGGCTATAAAAAAGTGCATTGGTAATTTAGACTGCTCCTTCTTGGGTATAATCTTGATTTGAGAGTTTCAAAATTCTGATGTCACTGACAGAGGTTTGTTAAACATAATCAACTGAAACTCCTTTACCATAGGCTAACATAACAAGGAAGATGCTTCTTGCAAAGTCTAAGCAGCCACACCAAAGGGACCCTGGATTATTATCTCAAAAATGTTGAACATCTTTAATTTATTGAACAAGCAAAGTTGATTGAATGTCAATTCAACAATGTTACTCCATGGCAAAAGGACTCCTGGATTGGAGGAATATACTGGTACTCGAACAGGATAGACGGACCACAAGGCACAGTAACGGATAATGTCTGGAGGACATGTTTTAGATCCAGAGAAGTTGTAGAGTAGGGTAATATGCAGTTAAGACAGTGAAAATAATACTGTACCAAAAAAACTTCTTACCTCCAACCCCAAGAGCAGCAGCGGCAGTTGGTTGGAAAATAAGCCGAGGATGCTCCATAATTTGCATGGGATTAACTCCAGCAGCAGCTGCGACTTGAGCTGCCGCAGCAGCCGCAGCGGCAGATGTAGCAACACTCTGTTGAGATCTAGCAAGTGATTGCATTGCCCCAAATTGCTGGTGATACTGTGCATGTGCTATGCTTGGGTGTACTGTGGTATCAACAACAAAAAGTTAAGGTGACACAATGAACTAACTTATTCCCTGTCTTCATTCAGTAAAAAAAGTTTAAGAGAAGTAATGGAAAAGTGACTGTAGGTAAACTAAGGCTATTCAAAAAAGGGTTTTGATTTGGCCACGAATACATTTGAAAACCTGTGAAATGTTTGAACCCAGGAGTCATTTCATAAGTAGGTTGAGTTTGATCATCTGGGTGAACGTAGTCCTGAATAGGACTGTTGTTGATGACAGTGACTGACGTTTCGACAACCTGTGCGGTAGAATCTTCAGTGTCAAAGTGAGTTGTATCACGTCAGTTGATGGTAACTCTGGTAAGTTTGAAACAGTGCAATTAATTCACTCTTAAAATGAATTATTGGTTTGTGTCATCCAGAAATTTTGCTACCATGGGAACGTGACGTAACAACTTCTCCTCTCTATTCAGGACTATGTTCATGTGAACGATAATACTCAACCTACTTATGAAATGTATTTGTGTTGGCCTGAGAATACAGCTGACTTTTGGTATTGCCACCACTGGTAACCCCGAGGAATGATGTGTGAGGAACAAGGTTAAAACTCCATACTGATGATGTGTTACAACCCTGATCTGGAAAGGGCTTTTGATTAGTTGAAGCAAATTTTCCTTATGGCATGACCAATCAGATACACCATCTAGATCTTGGTAGTGACACATCATCAGTATGGCATTTTTGCGCTCATTCTCAGACATCATTTCTTGGAGAAGCCGTACCAGTGGTGACAACCGGGAAAATCAGCTATTTTCTCGGGCTATACACGTATCTGTGTGTGCTAAAACTAAGCTTTTAAAAAGTCACAGAAAAAACTCTAACTCAAATCTGAACACTTGCCAGCACAGATGTGAAGGAACTTATTTATTTGAGAGAAGAGATTGATTTACATTTAGGGAAGTGATGCATAGATTCTAGCACATGACATTTCCACTGCATCATTTCCTAAGTTTCCTTTTGCAGGGCTTGTAATATTCAAAAACATCCTCAGGTCACCTTTTGGTGACCAACTGGAGAAATACAGTCGCCAGATGCAAAATTTTAGTTGCCAGTTTGTATAATGTAAATGATGCAGCTCATAGTATGGTGCAATCTACCAGATTTGATTGTTTGAAAATATCGCAGACAGAAGTCGGTATAAATTTGGAGGTAAACTGGCTTTGTTTATGCCATTTGGCACATTTTTTATGACGAAAGCAAAGCAAGATAAGATGAAATGTTTATTTTAACTTTACTCTTTTAGTTTAAACCTAAATCATAGATAAATCTAGTCGCCAAAGTGGGGACTAAACCAGAATTTTTAGTCATCAAGGAGAAAATGTTAGTTGCATTGGCAACCGTATCAGTCGCAACTTCGAGCCCCCGTTTTTCATAAAATCATGGCAATAAGGACAATGAAATAGTTAACCTGATAATGCATCCTGATAAAACAAGCCAGCCATTCCAGCCATTCCCGCCATGCCTGGGTGATGATAAGGAAACTGAGGTATTGCCTGATGAGCTCTACAGAATAAAATGTGATATCAAAATGAATGTACACAGTACATAGCAAGTAACAACCAATTCAACGATAAAGGGGAATATTATTTTGAAAAACTTTGTCTTTACTGTCTTTACAGAGGTAAATTTTATTCTATTAAATGTAATAAAATAGCAAAACATTTAAATGCACCACAAGCAAAAAGTTCTACTTACCTGTCCATTCTGCTTTCACTTCCCACAACTGAAAAGCAACAAAAGATGTTAAAAAGACACAAAATGCACAGCCTTTCAACTCTCAGTCACTTTAATCTAAAGAGAAGCAAGTAATGAAAGTTTTGCCAAGAACAATAAAATTGTTTTCTTTCCCAGGAATATAATAGTGTACCCACTCGGCTGTACTTCTACAGAATATGATTTTACACATGTAACAAACTAGACCCAGTAGCTGTTAACATTGACGAATTTTCATCTTTTAGGACCAGGTGAGTTGACTTACTCATGTGAAGCAGCAATACGAAAAAAAACTTTTTTTATTCCTTAAGAAAAAACAAAGCTGCACTGGTACCTGCTTAAGAGCAAGGTTTCTTTTGTAAGGAAACATTGCAAAACCCACACCCATAGTCCTGAAGTTTGAGGTGTTACTTAAAGTGCTTGATCAGCCACCACGTCTTTGCACATTTAACATGTAAATGCGGCTTATGCTATGTTACTAAAATACACAAAAAAGATCACAAAATAAATTACCTGAGCTGAAAGCAGGACCAGTCATGTGTGGCACTGTGGACATGGAACTAGTCTGATGGGAAGACACAGCTGCTGGCGAAGCTGATGCGCTTGGCTTAGTCAGCCTACTGTGATCAGCTGGATTCTGGAAAAAACATTATCATCATCTCATTACTGAAGAAAAACTTGCTTCCACAAAGGAGTTTTGAAAATAAAACTTTGGAGACATTATTTTATTTACATTATTTTCTTCAAACTAAATTTGTTTACCATTTGAGAGGCTATATTTAATATAATACCATACTTTGTTAATCTGAGACACCTTAAACTCTAATGTGCCTCATTTTTACTGCCCATGGTTTTTGCCATTGTCAAAGTCATCATTATTATCACAATATTATTGTTATCAACATTATTACATTTAAACAAAAATAAGCTCATACCATAGTAGTTTCTGAGCTGGAGATGGGAGCTGGTCGTGGTGCCGTAAAAGCCAAATGATGAGCAGGAGTATAGATTTTGGCTGTTGAGGTCAATATGGCGGCTGGTGTCACACTAACAGCATTGGACGGTACCATCTTTGATTGTTGCGAATGACCGGACATTCCAGTCCCAGGTGACGGCATGTGCGGCATGCTGTTACCAACAGAAGAGACTCCAACAGCTGTGCTATGTGCCGAGCTAGGGTGATGCGAGGGTAACGTAGGAACAGCTGCCTTGGGTGTTTGGTGAGTCGGGGGATGTGCAGCTGAAGGGACAATGTTTATCACTTTGCCACCAACAGAAACAGGAGGGTGTGGTGACGTACCCATGGGCTGAACAGTTGGTGACGCCCCTCTCCGGGCTAATTCAGGCATCATAGCTGGTCTTGCGTCACGCAGTTCACCAGGTTTATGGTCTGATCCTGGCTGGTTCACGGATGTCGCTGCTGCAGAAGTAGCAAGATGGGGTGTTGACGCCCCTGGAGACGATGGTCGAGAAGAACCCGTTGTCGTTGTAGGTGCATGTGTCTGCGACTGTCCACCACTGGCAGGAGTTTGAGAGCTTAAACCTAATGGTTTAACAGGGTGTGGCACTGAAGGAGTTCGCAATGAAGTATTCCGTGGAGGCACTCCAGCCAGAGCTGCCCCTGCAGCTGCTCCAGCTGGAACATGAGAGAAGGCAGGCTGTTGCATTCTCATCATGGAGGCAGCTAACAGGGGATGACCAGCTCCAAATGCCTGCATTCCACTGGCAACAAGACCAGGTGCTAGGTGTCCACCAGGAATGATCCCTGCAAGTGTCCCTGAAGCTGGGGCTATTGGGCGATTCTGCAGAGGTTTACCAATCTGCAATTGTGTGTTAAAATAAATTCTCAATAACACAAAAGAATGGTTTGATATAAATCATGTTACTGATGATGATGATGAATGTACACAAAACCCATTTCATATAATCCCTCACGTCTTAGGTGAGCCAAATTGTTCACCAAACAAACTTTCAACTTTCAATAATATTTCAATTTTTTATTTGAATTCACAAATTACGACTAGCCTGCAGTTAGCAAGGCTAGTTGAGGCAGGCCATATAAAAAAGACCAATTATTGTATCATAATAGATGTGTATCTGGGTGAGAACAGCATTCAAAAGAATCTGAATTTTTGGGATGGGGGTGGGGGTGGGGTGGGGGAGGGAGATAACAGAATCTACAATAGGTGAATTTACGTTTGGTGAAATACGAAAAAGGTAACAATAAAATGGCCCCTTTATGCCTAGATCAGGTTCTAGAGTTTGTAATTTTATTTACAGAGTAGGATTTAGAAAGTTGCAGACAATCTGCAGGGAATAAAATGTTTTTGAATTTTCACTTTTAATTAGATTTTATAAGGAATGAAATGGGCAAGTAAGTTTTTCGGAGGTAAGTGTAACAACCAAGATAAAATTTTGCTTAAAACAATATCCAAACCAAACAAAATGGGGCAGAAAACATCATTTTTGATCTAAACCTTGAGGTTTGCTTGATCCATTTGTGTCCTGTGAAAACCACTACTCTCTGGGCCTGACAAGGTAGCTGTAACAAAAGAAAAAACATCTCAGCAAAACAGAACTGAAGTTCAGGGCACTTCTTTTCTTCATCACTACAGTTCTGTACCTTCTGTATGGTGATGGATAATTTTATATTTTGCTGACACTCAAAAGGAACATAGATGAAACGAGCATACAAAGTTAAATTCTTCATCTTTAAGTCCCAACATCAAAATACAAGTTCTCCCTACAAGTCTTTACAAACTTCAATAGCAACAGAGACTCTTCACACATCACTATTTACATTTTTAGCTTTGAAAGAACTCGAAGACTTAAAAAAATTCTTACCATACTTTTTCTTCTTTTTTTGCAAAGAGGGGCACAAAAATTCAGCATGTTGGATTATTTCTTTAAGAAACTGTCAATATAATTACTGCCATCTTAAACTAGAGGGGCAAGAGGTGTGGTGGATAATGATGATATATCCAGACGATATTACCATCGGTTGTATCTGAGTCTGTACATGAGAGGAATAAACAAGTTCTGCTCGGGTGCAAACATAACATGTTTTGCCGCCAAACATTGAAGTTTGGATTAGGTGGCTGTTGTCGACTTGATTTGTTTTCGCTCAACAAAATATTCTTTGCAAAAATTTTTAAATGTTTAGAATAATTTCTGGAGGCAAGTGTGCTGTTTCTGAGTAAGAAATATGCCTGAAAGTTGAGAAAAATGAAATAAGAGCAGAATGCTCTGATCAAAAACATACAAACAAGTTACCTTTGGTGCAACAGTTTGCTCTAATGGCTGTCAAACTTCAAAATAATGTTTGGTGGCAAAGCATGTCATGTCTGGCACCCTATTAGAACATGCTTTTTTTGTCTTGTGTCCACGCTTAGATGCAACTGATGGTATTGTAAATTATGAAGGCCAAGTGAATGGGCAAAAGATCTCACTGAAGTCCAAATGCGAAAATATTTGGTGACAAAACAATTCAAACGGCAAATTTTAAGACATTTCTGAGTATTTGCCGTAAATTTTGACTTGACTATTGATTGGTTTTCATGCTGTATTTATTGTGTAGTATCAGCTCATAGTGAAACCTTACAATAATAGGTCGTTTGTGATGATCACATAGGTAAAAGGCTGATTATTACATTAAAATAAACCAACGCTCCCTGCTTCTCTGATGATCAAGGGTTTTTCAAAACAACTTTATACACAAACATTCAAACAAGGCACATTAACTGGAGGAAAAGATTTTTTAGTGGCCAACGTGGATCTGTTCAAAATTTTGCGTCCAATACATTTCATTCTTTAAACGGACCGGAAATACCGCAATTCTGGTTAACATAAGGATTAAGGTATAATATTAATAACTAAAAGAAGGGAAATTTATGCAAAAGAGTGAGAAGAAAGCAGAATACCTCCAGGATTGGCAGCCAAAACTTTTGATTTCTCGTGTTTTTCCATGTCCTGAGCGGGATTCCGTGACGGGCCGCCGACTACGTCCCGCTCGTGTCGATCTTCGGCTGGGTAACTCATCGTTTACTCTGAGTAGTGTCACATTGGATAAATCTTCTCGGTAAAGATACTCAATTTCCGCTGAAATCACATTAAAATATCATGCAAACATTGGACAATTTTGAAATTCGGGGGCAAAAACAGCAACCCAGTGATTTTTTCATCCGAACGCCCTGTCGCGCATGTCACGAAGGCAAAGTCTCAGCGTAACAAGCCGCGGGCTCATGAAGAAGGAAATGAGTCAAAAACTGTCGACCCACCCGACGTCGGTACTTTGGCTTTCTGCGACCCGTCTTTCTTTTAATAGGAGATCCTTTATTTTATGGTCCTTGAACGCAATAAACGCATACATACGCGCGCTTGAATCACCCAGAAAATTTAGAGGACAGATCACCGCCCGTTGCTCTCTCTAGAACATATATTATAAGGGTTTGTATTCTTATAGACCCTTATAGGGTGTCAGGAAAACTCAGACCTCAGAACCCGGAAAACTTAGACCCCCTGGGTGTCTTGAAAACACAGACCCCCGAAAAACTCACATCCCTGGATGTCTCAAATTATTTAGATTATCACGTGACATATAGTTTCTTTCATGCTTACGTCACTCGCGTTAAGAAAACGAACGCCAATATGGCGTCGAACGTGTACCTACTTGCGGCAGTTTTGTCGATTTTTTCCTTAATGACTGTGAAGGAAATAGTGTTTCCCTCCAGAGTCCAAGCATCAAACCCAGATAACGTGGACAAAGTAAAGAAAGCGGCCGTGTTTACCGGGCCAACGATAAAATTTCTTTATTGGTAAGGTGCATGCTTTAAGCTTAAAGTTCTTTTGTATTGCTGTGTGATATTATTGAATCCTATCGATTCTCTCACGGAAGCTTTTTTAGATTTCACTGTTAATCAAAAATCTTAAAGTTCTGAACGGTTACAGTCGGTTTGCAAGTAATCTGTTATATTTTGGAATGCAAGAATTTCAATACTCGAAGTGTTTTTTTTTCATCGGTCAGGCACTCATGATCTCAAGCTGATCATGATTGGACAAAACAGAATTTTAAAGTGAACACATACAGCACAAAACCAAAAACAAAGCTCGGGCGGTCAGTTATAATTAATTTTTCAATATTAGCCAACACACGGGAAATCAAGCCTCTGTAAACATAATATTCACTCTGGAATGCTGATTAGAACACTTTGTAATTTTTTATTGCTTACGATATTAATATTGGCTTCCTGTCTATACATATGGCAAAGAGAGACAAAAGAAGATTGCAAGCAGTTCAGAAGCTTGCATTGCTGTTGGCTGGGCATCGCACAACTCTTATGCCTCTTTCACACTCTCCAACTCTCTATGTACTTCATATCTTAAAACCATAAACTGCTGCCTAGATACACATTTAAGCCGTGGGCTGATACATCTTTGCAAGGGGTTTGAGAAAGGCGTATTAACTGAGGGGCTGATATCTTAGGGGGCTTATAACCAGAATAAAAAAGTGCTTCAAAGCAAGCTATACTGATTGATCAAATTACATCTTGCATATACTCAAGCTTAACAAAGCTTCAAAATGCCGTGATGAATCAAATTCACATTTAAATACATTCGGAGTGGTGCTTATATCCCGGGGGGGGGCGGGATAATCAAATGTATTTTAGATAGATAGATAGTTTCTTAAATCAAATGCATTTTAGATATATAGACAGATAGTTTATTTAAAATAAATACATAGGCAGCCAGAGGCTGAATTGCATATTTACAACTAAAACTAAGCTGAAAATAGAATAATTTACAATACATAAATAGTAAAAATATTAAAAGTTGATGCATATAATATATAAAAGCATTCAAATTTTTGGTTTACAGGTAGATGGCTTATAACTGTCATCCAGACCCTGGGATAAAGGGGGTCCCAGTCTCGAAAAAATGTTTTGGGGCCCTTTTGGCCTCAAAGTGGTCTAAAAGTAAGGAGGGCCCTGGGCCCCACCACTGTCCTTGGCTCATTTGTCAGTGTACAAGTACCTATAATCAATGCTGCGTTCTGATTGGTTGAGCTACTACTGGGCTATAGGTTATAGCCCACTGGTAGCGATGGCGGCTGAATCGCGTTTTGCTAGCTTAAGTTGTTTTGTCTCGATATTTTTGTCCAACTAGTTGGATTTTACTAAAACAATAATTATTATTCCTCCCCTCATGGCCTCTGAGTCAATAGCCCATTCAGCCTTCGGCCTCATGGGTTATTGACTCAGAGGCAAGTAGGGCGAGAGGAATAATAATTATTGTTAAATATACTCAAGCGTCATTCCCTTCCCACACTCAGTATGAGGTAATGAGGTACCATGAAACCTTGTGTGAGAACGGAGCAAAAACCAGTTTTCTAACTAAACCTTTTCTTTGTTTTATTAAGTTACTCCTGAGGATACCGGAAGGTGTTTGAGGAATACGCCGGCTTCATTCACCAGAACTACCCTATGCTACGCATTGAAGGTGACAATTATCCCCCACCCCGTCCCCGACAGATGCTAGCAAGTTTCATTAGCATGGCAAAGTTGGCTGTGATGGCAATTGTTTTACTTGGTGAAAGACTCCAGATATGGGAGACTCTCAATATCAATCCACCACAAGTTTATATTTGGGCAACTCAAAATAAGGTACATCCATTGTATGTGGTTTGAAATTCATTCTTAGAAAAGTAGCAAAATGAGGCAGGAAACACTGTACCCTTTGCATTTTTTGACACAAGCAGGGTTCGCACAGAGTCTTGAATTCTTGAAAAAGTCTTGAAATTTGCCTAGCAATTTTCTAGACCTGGAAAAAGTCTGGAAAATGGAGATTAAGGCTGGAAAAAGTGGTTAAAAGCCTTGACTTTTTTTAGAGCTACAACAAATAATGTATAAGTGAATTTTTTTTTCCTTTTGGTCAAATCTTATTCAATCTCACCTGTACTTTTGCAGCACATCATGAACAAAGATTTGTTTTGTGTTTTTTAAGGTATGCAATGATCACCTATTTGATAACCTTGAGTCTGGAAAAGAAAATATTAATTTTTGTTTTCAAAAAAAATTTTGGATCCAAAAATCTGTACAAACCCTGCCCAAGCATGGAAAATTGTTATTATGTGGCTTGAATNACTATTAAATTCTCTGCCTACTAATTGCACTTATCTGGCAACTTGGAATCTGACAGCCTAGCCTGCACCGCAGATGTAAATTTAACCCCAGTTAGTCTGCAAAGCAGTGTTGAGATCCTTGTTCTGGGCCTTCAATAGACTCAATGAATCACCAGAGGCAAGTGAATTTCGAATTTTCTTTCAACCTGATTGGCAAACTGACAATAAATTATGGCTTTTTAACAGGCCCTCAAATCCCAATACACTTTGCAAAAGGACTTAACTAGAGTTTCGTTCAATCTGTGGTGCAGGATACTAACAGCCCTGCCTTTAGGATCTTACACAGGATCCTGAATAGCATTTTAGAGGATTCTGGGTTAGGATCCTGTTAAGATCTTTTTGGATCTTAATTCTGACGAGGAATTCTACCATGGTACTATTAAAGGAGCTATCTGTTTTCTGGAGCATCTTGTACAGGGTGGTGTGACTTGGCATTATAATTTCAATTCTTTTTTTTATAAAAAAGAGAAAGGATTTAAGAAACTAATAGGTTAAGTATTAATGTATACATGTAATAATTTCCTCAGATTGTAACCGTTAAACTCTTTGTTTCTCAACAGAATTGTGGTTTTCAAGGTGATGACTCCCATATAATGACGTTCACTGCATAAAGTGGATTCGTCGCTCGCTTTGAACTGATGGTCTTCAGGAGAAATCATTCTGTGGAAATCTCAATATAATGCCCGGGAAAAACCTTCACAGCTGTAATAATTTATTATTAAAAATGTACACAACCAACATTAGCTACTGTAAAAAGTACACTCTGACAGTATAGTCTAGAAAGTTTTGCTATTTGATTTCTGTCGATATCTGCTGTGGTCTTTTTGCATGTATTTATGTGTTTCTTTTTTGTACGAATTTGGAATTGCATAAAGTTCTCCTACTTTATTCTTCCAGCTTAGTTGTTCAGTAACCTGTGTAGGGAAATGGAAATAAACATAATTTTATTATTAGGAGCATGACATGTTAGAAAAAAAAATTAGAACTGACTTTCCAACACCTCACTGAAATAGTTTTTTAAGAAGTGTTTTTCTCACCATTGTATCTCCCCCTTCGCTCCAAACTGTCAAGAAAGTCTTGATTTTTTCTGCAAGGAAAAAATTCATGGAGGTTTGTGCTAGCCTGACAAAACAGCTGACAGCTTGCTAGCTTTTTGCAATAATTTCCTTGTGAAATGATGTCTGAGAAACAAGCACTGAAATTCTATACTGATGACACGTCACTTCCCAGATCTGGGTAGTGCTTCTGATTGGTCATGCTGCATAAGAAATGTGTTTCAGAAGCACTACCCAGATCTGCATAGTGATGTGTCATAAGTATGGCATTTTGGCCCTCTATTCTTAAATGTCATTTCGTGGAGAAACCAGTTCAAAGTAGACAGACTGCAAATTATATTAGTTGCTAAAAAATATATAGGCAGGGGGCATAGCCAGCCCAAAGACCTGTACGCCCGGGCCTACAAATTTTTGGTTTGATCACTCTACCGCTTGTAATAAATTATGCATTGCTGGGGTGAGCTAAAAAGCTTAAGAGCTCAAAGTGTTGGTGAGGTCAGTGCGTACAAGTCATGGTTGCAATTTTCAGGATATGTGGAAATGAAAGTCAGCCAGGCCTATAACTAGTCTCAGGGTTGTCACCTAAGTTGGCGGGTAAATAGAACAAGTAGGCGGGGAATCAGACAGCTAGGGGTTTCTTTTGGTTCTACTTTTCTGCTATTTTTCTATGAAAGTAGCTGGTGGCAACGTTCATAGTAGCTGGGGGAAATCCCTGGCCCCCACCTCTTAATGACAGCCCTGTAGTCGAAAAGCTGGTTACCTCCCTGGTAGGGTTGCAAAATGTTGGCTGTTTTCTCAGACTGAGTTTGTGCCTGCAGTAACTCAAAGTGTGGTGTAACCTCTTTGCTACAGGATTATAACAAGTTTTCATTCAATACAGGCAATTCGACTTAACACAGGTCATTTTTAGCAGAAAATATGAGAAGAAAAGTTTGGGACTCACTGCTGCTTGTGTGAACTTATACAAAGTGCCCTTTTAAGGTTTCACTGTCAAATAAATTGTTTACGAACAAACAAACAAACAAGCAAAAAAGACTAACTTACAGTCTGTGAGCCTCTTTATGTCTTTCAGCTGCTTCCTGGGTCCTTAAAGCTCTGCGAAATTCATTCCTTTCAGCCTTTGAAAGTAATCACATTTTATTTCATCAAAGTTATGTGCTTATGATGTTGTTATTTGAGAGCTTGATGCCCCACTGCATCCGGGTCAATAGAAGGAAAACAATAACAAACCTAGGGTGACACAGGCATAAGCATTACAACCAGCAATCAGGATAAAACCACCAGTTACTTAAGTAATGATCCGGGTAACGTGGATAGCAATTTCTTTTGTTATGCGGCAACGGTGCTTTCCCCACATAGGAATGTTCTCATTTTTACACAGAGAAAATATAAACCTACATGAAGGCCGTTTACACAATAAAATGCATTTACACTCCACTTAGAAAGGGTGTTTTTTTGCGTTAAAAGATTTTGACCAATCACAAGAGTTGAAAACAATAGCCAAGAAAAGTTTACAATTTTACATGTTCCCCACATAGGATTTCTTTGTTATTCAAACTGAGACCAGATTTTGTTATATGGAAGATGGTATTGCCAGAAGTCTTTCTTGTTCGCTTGTGTCTTTCTCAAGAGATGCCACGTCTGTGTGTGGTAGGGGGATTGGAGCCCAGCAATTTAGAGTATTTGTAATGAGCAAAATCCATCATCTACGACCCTGATGGTACAAATTTCAGTTTTCATTTGTCGAGAGTGATTGCTGACCATCAAAGAAATCTGGGATGTGTCAGGAAAATAGAAACACTCTCAATTCTCTGGAATTGTTCCAGACCATCCCAGGCAATTGGGGATATCTATGATTTTGAGTTCTCATTAGTCAACAAAATCTGTGAAAGTCGGGAAACAATAAAATCCCAGATCGTCTGTGATTTTCCCAACATGTGAAAACCAGGCTTAAATTTGCCTCTCGCCATTGGTAAGTTGCAAATTTTTCTGACAGATATGACCCCAAGACAGTTCTTTCACACCAGAGAAAAATCTGGGCAAGATTTACACAGCTCAGAGAGTGAATAATTCAACATTTGACTTCCTACAATGTAGTTTATTCAGTGCAATAAAATAATAGAACTTATAAAAAAACTCACCAAACATAAATAGCAGTATTTACAGTCAAACTTCCTATATAGAGACACCAAAGGTGTTGAGCCATGTGTTTTCTTTACAGAATACAGTGGTGTTTATATTGTAGAGGTTCAAAATGGATTGTTACAAAGTTTGGTATCTTTGAACCCGAGTGAACTGTGCCATATGGGGCTGTCACCAAAGGCCAGTGCCAAGATTTCCCCCGCTACTATGAGCCTGACACCCAGACACTTTCACAGAAACAAAAGGAAAACAGAACCTAAGAAGTTCCTAACTATTAAATTCTCTGCCTACTAATTGCACTTATCTGGCAACTTGGAATCTGACAGCCTAGCCTGCACCGCAGATGTAAATTTAACCCCAGTTAGTCTGCAAAGCAGTGTTGAGATCCTTGTTCTGGGCCTTCAATAGACTCAATGAATCACCAGAGGCAAGTGAATTTCGAATTTTCTTTCAACCTGATTGGCAAACTGACAATAAATTATGGCTTTTTAACAGGCCCTCAAATCCCAATACACTTTGCAAAAGGACTTAACTAGAGTTTCGTTCAATCTGTGGTGCAGGATACTAACAGCCCTGCCTTTAGGATCTTACACAGGATCCTGAATAGCATTTTAGAGGATTCTGGGTTAGGATCCTGTTAAGATCTTTTTGGATCTTAATTCTGACGAGGAATTCTACCATGGTACTATTAAAGGAGCTATCTGTTTTCTGGAGCATCTTGTACAGGGTGGTGTGACTTGGCATTATAATTTCAATTCTTTTTTTTATAAAAAAGAGAAAGGATTTAAGAAACTAATAGGTTAAGTATTAATGTATACATGTAATAATTTCCTCAGATTGTAACCGTTAAACTCTTTGTTTCTCAACAGAATTGTGGTTTTCAAGGTGATGACTCCCATATAATGACGTTCACTGCATAAAGTGGATTCGTCGCTCGCTTTGAACTGATGGTCTTCAGGAGAAATCATTCTGTGGAAATCTCAATATAATGCCCGGGAAAAACCTTCACAGCTGTAATAATTTATTATTAAAAATGTACACAACCAACATTAGCTACTGTAAAAAGTACACTCTGACAGTATAGTCTAGAAAGTTTTGCTATTTGATTTCTGTCGATATCTGCTGTGGTCTTTTTGCATGTATTTATGTGTTTCTTTTTTGTACGAATTTGGAATTGCATAAAGTTCTCCTACTTTATTCTTCCAGCTTAGTTGTTCAGTAACCTGTGTAGGGAAATGGAAATAAACATAATTTTATTATTAGGAGCATGACATGTTAGAAAAAAAAATTAGAACTGACTTTCCAACACCTCACTGAAATAGTTTTTTAAGAAGTGTTTTTCTCACCATTGTATCTCCCCCTTCGCTCCAAACTGTCAAGAAAGTCTTGATTTTTTCTGCAAGGAAAAAATTCATGGAGGTTTGTGCTAGCCTGACAAAACAGCTGACAGCTTGCTAGCTTTTTGCAATAATTTCCTTGTGAAATGATGTCTGAGAAACAAGCACTGAAATTCTATACTGATGACACGTCACTTCCCAGATCTGGGTAGTGCTTCTGATTGGTCATGCTGCATAAGAAATGTGTTTCAGAAGCACTACCCAGATCTGCATAGTGATGTGTCATAAGTATGGCATTTTGGCCCTCTATTCTTAAATGTCATTTCGTGGAGAAACCAGTTCAAAGTAGACAGACTGCAAATTATATTAGTTGCTAAAAAATATATAGGCAGGGGGCATAGCCAGCCCAAAGACCTGTACGCCCGGGCCTACAAATTTTTGGTTTGATCACTCTACCGCTTGTAATAAATTATGCATTGCTGGGGTGAGCTAAAAAGCTTAAGAGCTCAAAGTGTTGGTGAGGTCAGTGCGTACAAGTCATGGTTGCAATTTTCAGGATATGTGGAAATGAAAGTCAGCCAGGCCTATAACTAGTCTCAGGGTTGTCACCTAAGTTGGCGGGTAAATAGAACAAGTAGGCGGGGAATCAGACAGCTAGGGGTTTCTTTTGGTTCTACTTTTCTGCTATTTTTCTATGAAAGTAGCTGGTGGCAACGTTCATAGTAGCTGGGGGAAATCCCTGGCCCCCACCTCTTAATGACAGCCCTGTAGTCGAAAAGCTGGTTACCTCCCTGGTAGGGTTGCAAAATGTTGGCTGTTTTCTCAGACTGAGTTTGTGCCTGCAGTAACTCAAAGTGTGGTGTAACCTCTTTGCTACAGGATTATAACAAGTTTTCATTCAATACAGGCAATTCGACTTAACACAGGTCATTTTTAGCAGAAAATATGAGAAGAAAAGTTTGGGACTCACTGCTGCTTGTGTGAACTTATACAAAGTGCCCTTTTAAGGTTTCACTGTCAAATAAATTGTTTACGAACAAACAAACAAACAAGCAAAAAAGACTAACTTACAGTCTGTGAGCCTCTTTATGTCTTTCAGCTGCTTCCTGGGTCCTTAAAGCTCTGCGAAATTCATTCCTTTCAGCCTTTGAAAGTAATCACATTTTATTTCATCAAAGTTATGTGCTTATGATGTTGTTATTTGAGAGCTTGATGCCCCACTGCATCCGGGTCAATAGAAGGAAAACAATAACAAACCTAGGGTGACACAGGCATAAGCATTACAACCAGCAATCAGGATAAAACCACCAGTTACTTAAGTAATGATCCGGGTAACGTGGATAGCAATTTCTTTTGTTATGCGGCAACGGTGCTTTCCCCACATAGGAATGTTCTCATTTTTACACAGAGAAAATATAAACCTACATGAAGGCCGTTTACACAATAAAATGCATTTACACTCCACTTAGAAAGGGTGTTTTTTTGCGTTAAAAGATTTTGACCAATCACAAGAGTTGAAAACAATAGCCAAGAAAAGTTTACAATTTTACATGTTCCCCACATAGGATTTCTTTGTTATTCAAACTGAGACCAGATTTTGTTATATGGAAGATGGTTGGAAAGTAAGCATGAATATATGTACTGCTTTATGAAGTTTTGTTAACTTTTGCTGTTTAAGGCAATCAGAAGTAAGTACAGACAATAGAAAAGTTAGCACCTTTTTTGCATTCCAACATGTTCGTTGCTGTTGTTGCTATCGTTCTTATCTGGACCGTTTCTTAAAAAAAATCATTTGGCATTCTTTTCTTTTGGCTTAAAGCTCAATTTTTAGTGAAGTAAATGTGATTTCACCTTTTGTGGCTCTCCTAGGGGGTTATCTGTGTCCCTAGTCTGAATTTCAAAACCTGTTGCTTCATGTATTGAGGAGGAAGCCATGTTGCTGTCAGTATTAAACCATTTTATTGGCGCTTTTCTCTGTCACCGTAGCAGTTGTCTTTGAGTCGTTTCTTGCCATTCCGCCTGTCCTATGTCGCTGTTTCAAGGCCATGTCGCTTGGCAGAAAATTGTACTACAGGGCCTCGCCTTTAGGCAGCAATCAAGTTTGGGGCAACAAGTGATATGATCTTATAACAGGAAAATGCCTTAAGCACTGACCTGCTCTCTTGCTTTTGCTTTCCTTTCTCTGTTTTCTCTCTCCTCAGCTTCTCTCTTTTCTCTTTGCCACTTTTCACGCTTTTTCTACAACAGAAAGGAGTTATTTTTAGCAGGAATGATGGACTGGACAGAAAACACAGTCTCTCAGCCATAGGTGAAACTTAACTGTGGTCACTTGGACAGGGTCTGAAAAAGGGATGTAAATAAGCAATGTTGAATCCCAAAATGGGAGGTTTAAGACAGTTCTTTGTTGAGAGGGTGGTAGTGATCCAGGTGGAGGGGGGGCGAGGGGGGCAGGGCTCTTTTCCTGTAAAATATGAATCTTTACAGCACAACCCAATGGTAAATTGACAGGAGTACCTAGCCAGCAAGCAAGCTCTCCATTTCAAAAGGGGAGTAAAGCAAGTCACGTGAGAATGCTTGAATAAACAGTGAAGCTGCAAGGAGTGCAGAACTTGCTTGCTTGCTTATGCGGTCGTCCGATTTTGTTAATCACTTGTATGATTACAGATTGAATCAGACTCCACTCAGTCCTGTTACCACTACCAATTCACCTGCATTTCCAGTCCACTACTTGCAGCTTTGACGGCCTTTTGTTTCTGCATTACAGCCGTACGATAATTTCCAGCACCACCCACTCTGCTGGGTCTTTCATGAACATACTGTAATCGTCTGGCTTCACGGCGAGCATCTGCTTCTTCCATCTCCTTTTTGGCCACTAAGTGAAGAGTATAAAATTATTACATAATAAAGAATTATCTAAAATTTTACAAAGAAGGTCATCTTTTTAAGAGTATCATGGCTTGTGCATTTCTTCAGCCCTCCGCCCCCCACTCCACAAGCTGGGAACTTCTTGGTATTGTAGAATCTGTGGTTGGTCAATGATGGTGCCCATCACCAGGGTTGTAACATGGTAAATCTGGGATCCATGCCATCATTCTGTAGTAACCAAAGTTCGGTGATAAACGACACCGCCAGAGATTGATCTGTGAAACCATTTAGAAGGTTGTTCATAGGCCACGCAAAACTTCCTTGCATCAGGCGCGGATCCACACCGGCTTCCAGCGTTTTACGGAAATCGGTCAGATTTTTCATAATAAATATATTTTCAACAAAAATTAAATAAAACACTTTCCAAATTGAACTCTGGCGAATATCCCGTCCAAATGACTCGGAAACCGATGCAGGAAAGAGGACTTAAAGGAGTTAAAATCCAAAAACTCCCCTGGGGCAGTCTGCCACTGGACCGCCCTAGAAGCTTGCGCCTTCGGCGCTCGTTTAGGAAATCAGTCAGTATTTATCCTAGATCCGCGCCTGTGCATCATGCAATTTTCAGTAGCTTTGAAGTAAGGGGCCACATGAACGTAAAGTCCTTTGGCGACGATCGCCTTCCAGGTCCTTATAACTTTCAATACTTTTTGAGGTTTCAAAGGCTAATTTAAAGATTAACTTTCAATACCTTGCTCCATTTGTGCCCTCTTTCTTTCGTCCGGTCTAAACATGGTAAAGCCGACATTTCTACGAGCACAAATAAAACGAATTTTTTAAAGTTTTTCGCAAGCCTAACTTATATCTGGCATCTGAGGACAGGCAGACAGCTGAATTTTCTAAATAATCGGTGTTTGGCTGTCTAATTTTCTTCGCTTTCGGGTAGGTTATGCGAAAAAGGGTAGCGATTGGGGGAAGAAGACAAGGAACATGGACGTTTGTATTTGTGTAATCACCGAAACGAGAAAATTTCGACTGCCATACACGGAGAGGCATTTTGAAATTCGGATCTTAGTCACAGGGAGAACAGGAAGAAAGGTTTCTCAGATACAAATATCATCAGCCCGGGCTTGAATTAAGCTTAATACCTTTGCTTTCTGGATGAAGTTTCGTCATTTGTTTGTTGCCCAGTTTGATCCAGTTCCTTCGACATTTCGCTTCCATCGTTGTACGACTCATGGCCTCCTGATCTCATTCCTTGCCCTCGGATATCAGCTCCATGCGAATTTCTGTATGTTCTAGAATAACTCATAGCAAACTGGAACTTTAATTTATATCTGTTTCTCCTATCTCTTTTTGAAAGCTGAATCTTGAAGAGCAAGAAGCAAAAATTTGAGAAACTTTCGGATTTTCCGAGAAAATGTGATAAACAACTACACCTTTCGGGGAAATTCCCGCCATCCCCCGAAGCGAGCACCGGAAGCGGAAGCGGAAGCGACTCTGAAAATGGAAGCTGCTATCTCTGGACGGTAACTGTATAGAAGGTCGCTATCTTCAGCAAAAGCTAATCTAATTCAAGGTCCATGAGATTATAAAGATTTACTATAGGACTGTTTTGGGGGACGAATTTTACCAGTTTCTTGGGTAACTTCGTAGTAACCAACGAAGGAGGTGAGAACGAGACGGTGAGGCCGGCCGGCATGTCCGAGTTCAAAAAGCTCTCACTTTCAAAACGAGGCTAAGTGTAAAACCTCTCTTATGAAAGTGAGGTTTTGCATGGGACCAAAAAATGATTGTCATATCAATAGCCTCGCATCTAGCCTCACTTTGAAACAAAGCCTTGGGGGAACTCGGCGATGGCCTATTGTCAAAACATGTTTAATCACCTTAGGTTGTGAGCTCAGACATCCCCTCCCCTAGCACAAAAGGCTGATTTAGCAACAGAACTAACCTGCGATCAGGCTTTTTTTTTTTTTTCAAGAAGGGATAATAGGGAGAGGGCGTGATCTCAGGCTACAACAGAACGGGAACGTCAGTTGATGACGGCGCTCGCAAATTAAACAACTAACCAATGGCAGAACGACAAATTGGGCACCGGAAGTCGTGTTTAGTCCTTTCCGAGCGCTTTCCCGTCGTCAATTGACGTTCCCATCCAGTTGCTAAATCAGCCTAAAATTGGGGAGGGGGCGTCTGTAAGCAGGCTAAGCTTCGGTGAACATTTTTTTTACAAATCACTGTATTCTATCAACCTCATTTGATGACATTGTTCACTGGTATGAGGGAAAGGCCTAATTAAATATTTATTTGAGGAAAATAGTGAAACACTCTGAATAGTGATGTCAATCCTATCGTGATACGCAAAAGCACTGCTGCTGAAAAGAATTCATTACAATGGTCACAAAATTCGCTATTCTCAAATCCCAAAAATTCACTCGACTTGTTTCCTCACCCCCGCTCCATCCCCCCCCCGAATTTTGCATAAACTATTGTTTTCAAATACTCCTGGGAAGACTGTATATCCCAAGAGCAAAATTTGAAAACAATAGTTTATTTATGCAAAATGTGGCGGGCAAACAGAGTGTATTATGGGGGATTCGCTAACAGTAAATAGGATTTCAACCACAGAACTAAAAGTTTGACAACAGGTGTCTGCAAAAATAAGCAAACAATGATAAGATACACTAAACTGGATAAACAATCTTTAATCGTTTGCTCTTTCACTTCCAAATTTTTTTAACGTATCTTCTATAAATATAATACCGAATGACCGCTCCCAAATACTTCACTAGATACTCTATATATGAAGTAGTAGACAAGACCAATCACTAGATAAAACTGGAATATCATTTGCTGGTATATATTAGCTTCATTCAACGTCCGTGTTTGCGTATAGGCACGTTCGTCACGCGTATTGAACAGGGTTCGTTCTTCCGCAGCACTGGAAAACAGCTACCTCCTCCTGGAATAGCACATGACTAATGTACCACCCAGTCCAAGTTTTGGAGCTACTCGCCGTTATCGACAATGTAAACCTTAAACTGAGAACTGCAATTTACTTTTGCATTCGTCAACATAAACTGCGAGTCAACTGTCTATTTAAGATCTTAAACGCAGAAAACAAAGAGATCGCCATTTGTCTGTAGGAGCAACCTTATCTCTCTAACGTTAACGATAATATAATTGTTAACTCTCAAGAATGTTGAGTTTACTTGTTTTTCAACGGGTGACGTTTTACGGGCGTTCAATGCCCAATGATATTTCACTCTCATGATCTTGCAGCATGCCCGTAATTCTATTTGTTGGAGCAGAGTTTGCACCTATTCAAAGGGGGTTTTTCGCATTNGTTCTTCCGCAGCACTGGAAAACAGCTACCTCCTCCTGGAATAGCACATGACTAATGTACCACCCAGTCCAAGTTTTGGAGCTACTCGCCGTTATCGACAATGTAAACCTTAAACTGAGAACTGCAATTTACTTTTGCATTCGTCAACATAAACTGCGAGTCAACTGTCTATTTAAGATCTTAAACGCAGAAAACAAAGAGATCGCCATTTGTCTGTAGGAGCAACCTTATCTCTCTAACGTTAACGATAATATAATTGTTAACTCTCAAGAATGTTGAGTTTACTTGTTTTTCAACGGGTGACGTTTTACGGGCGTTCAATGCCCAATGATATTTCACTCTCATGATCTTGCAGCATGCCCGTAATTCTATTTGTTGGAGCAGAGTTTGCACCTATTCAAAGGGGGTTTTTCGCATTGGCGTTGCAAAGACCTTGTCTGCTATCCACTCATATTGTGGAAAACACCAGTGAAACTAAGTCCAGTCTCCCCATCCTTTTCCTAATAACAAATTGGACCCGTCATGTAGGCTTCTTCGCCATCCCGGCATAGATACCTTTCCCCAAAAGATATTGAACTAAATCTCGAATCATCGTAAAAGGTTGTTTCAAATTCACTTCAAAGCATGAACTTCCGCTTCGGATAAAGCAGTTTCATCATCATCGCCTCTGGTTCTGTTTGCATTCGCACTGTAACTGTCAATGGGTGTATCTTCCTCGCTGGAGCTCAATCCCGATCCCAAGTCATTATTTTCAATGCTATCCTCATCAAATTCATCTTCACTACCTGCTTTCTCCTCCCCAGTCTCTTCCTCATCCTCCAACTCACACTGAGTCAACCTGCCTGTAGTCGAGGCTAGTTCCCAAGCAAGGTTAGTCAAAGTCGCACGGTCAGCCTCGTCTTGGTCCGCTCGCAGCTCATCTTGAGTGACTCGGGAACAGAGCTGTTCTAAGAAGTCATCATCGCTGTCATCAGACCAGTGAAACACTGGTGGGTTTGGACTAAGCGTCAGCTCTGAAACAGTTGAAACGCGGTGCACCAGGCTGTAATCTTCGAAGCCATTTGGTGGCTGCGTCTTTAGGAAATCCACAATTCCGAAGTCGTGAATTTGAGCATCGTACACGATGTCAGTTCCAACAGGCATGGCTATTGTGGAGGATTTAGAGTCAGGTCTGTCGCGGCTTTTCGCTGATAAAGTTGGCTCACGCAAAAGAGGAATAATAGGGCGGGGGCTTTGTGGACGTACTTCACTGCCACTGGTATTAACTTCCTCCGCGCCTCTTTGCTGACTGACCTCATTTTCCAGAAAACTCTCCTGTGGTTTCCACACATTACGTGCTAATAGTGTCTGGCTTAAATTATCGGGTTTAATTTGTGACGAGCTAATTGCAGACACCGTCTCACGAGATCGTCTTCCTGAGGGTGATCCGTCTTTTACGCCAGCGAGGAAAAACTCGGAGAGGCCAATATGGCTTGGCTGTGGACTCCATACTCTTGCCGATAATCCATCGCTCTGCTGCTTGATTTGGGAGTGTTTCGCTATGTGCTGTCCCGTTCGAGAATTAGCCCCTCTTACACCAAGCCTTGAAAAGGGCGACGTCTGTTCCGAGGAAGGGCTGACAGAAGATACAGGTGAAACATCTTGTAACACCAACGCATCGCTATCAGCTTCGAAATTTCCCCTGGGGGTCATGCACGTAATACTGACTCTCCCAGACCGTGACACAGGTCTACTTTGGGACTGGGGGTGAGGATGAGAATCTTGTTCGTCAACTATACAAGCAGTTGTTTCCTCTGCGCTTAATTCATCATCGGTGATCTCCTCAATCGCTATCACTCCTCTGGATGCAGCAACACTTGCCACTCCGTTTTCTCGCGCATTTTTCTTGTTTAATGCACCTAAACTCTGAAAAATCTCACGGTAGTTCGTGCCTAGTTGGTTTTCGACTTCAATTTCTCGCTGTGGGCTGCTGTCTGACTTTGGGTCTTTGCTATTGCCTTGAAAATCTTTCAAAGGAGTTTGCCGAGAGACGAAGTTTGGATTACTTTGGTGCTTTTTCAGCAACATACGGTCAAGATAGCTCAGAGACTTGTTGGGGCCAAAATTTAGTTTAATCTCCTGTGTTTTGGGAACCTCGGGCGTGGTGCTTGTTTCACACGAGGTGCCTGTAAATACAATGAAAGTATTAGGACCACAGCGTTCACCTGTATTAACTTGCGTGGCGGCCACTCGAAAAGGAGCCTGGGGAAAACTGAAAACTAATCGGACAAGCGAGAACGCAAAGGGTGCACGAGGGAAGGGGGGAGGGGAACATCGACGTCCTCTCTCTTTTGCGCATCTTTCGATTTCAAGCCCGATCTTAAATATCAATTAGAATAAAAATGAAAAAAAAATTCACGACTCTAGTCTATTCATAAAGACAAGAAACACAAACCAAAAAAGCAACTTAATTTTGATAAATTTACATAGTTAATTTAGATAACCTATAGGCGATAGACTGTAATGTTCAAATACCTCTGGGTACACTTGGGTTTGTCCACATCTTCTCTGTTTTACCAGCGCTTCTCCATTCCATGAGAGCCTGCGCAAAAGATTGTGCACTGGCTTCTTCATCATAAGAACCCTGCAGGAGGGATCCGCCTTGGCGTACTGAAGAATCACTCGACTACAAAAAAGGAATCAAGGTGGAAAGAAAAAGATGTAAAACTTGTAAACGACCTTCTCAAAGGCTGTTACACCACCTCTGAATTTGTACTGTTAATCTATAAACTCAGACAAATATCATTGGGACACTTTCTCAGTGTAGACAGTATAACCCCATCCCTCCATTACAGTAATGTTTAAAGGCGTACTTTTGCAAAGGACAAACGATTTTCACTTTTGTGCAGGGGAGATGGGACAAGAAGTGTCTCGCAAATTTGTCGAAGGTCGTGGGTGGATTTAAGTAAATTTGAATGTCCAGTTGCAGTATTACTAGGAAACAACTTGATGATTGACCTAACAAATTACTCGTGAAAGAACTACAAACTTTCTTTCATACCTGTGGAGATTTTGCTTGAGAGTGGCTGGTCACCCTGAAAAAAACATTAATAGTGAGACTGAGCTTTCAAGTCTTTATTTGCATCACATGAAAAAACAGTTGCATCAAAAAACTTTATTGACACAAACTGGTTACTAAAAAAGTTACCATCATACCTGGAGACTTGCTTTCGAGGTGATATTTCTTGTTTAGCATTCATGGAACTCTTGATTTCCTTTTCCTCAAGTTGTCCTGCCTCATACTATGAAACAAAAACATTTGACGTTAGTGGCAAAATCAGTAAAAGGTATCAAGTCTATAAACATACAAAGCTTTGCAACCTTCTACTCCAAGCACTATGAAACACAGTAAAGCACTGATACAAGCGCAGTTAATGATACAAGACACACCTGTTCAACTGTTTGGGTTGTGTGCTTCTTCAGTGCTCCCTTTTGATGAAAAGACATGAAGCAACTCACACAGTATTTTTCAGAACAATCCACACAGACCTGGAAACAACAAGATGCAACATTACTATAACTGTAAATATTGCCTAAAGGCTGGTTTTCAGTCTCAGAATCCTGTCAAGAACCCAGATGTTTTTCTCTGTTGATAGCTTGCGGCATTTACAGATGTCTCCCAATAACTTAGTCTAAGATTAGAAGATAGCCAACATTTTGTGACACCACTGGTTTTCCAACAAAATGATGTCTGGGAAACAAGTGCAGAAATTCCATATTGATGACGCGTCACTGGGTAGTGCTTCTGATTAAATGAAGCAAATTTCTAACAAATCAGGAGCACTGCCCTGCCCAGATCTACAACCTCGGACAAAACCTGTTGAGACACATAATACAAAAATACCTATTTTCTTCACTCAACCTGACAAAAATGCTTACCGTCGCAAATTAAAAGACCGTTTCCCCCCTCTCCTTTTGCAATGTTGTTTGCGATAACAAAAGAAATGCACACTTGAGCTGTTAGGCCAAAACAACATTGCACAAGGGGTGGAGAGGGGGGCAAATTTGTTCCTTTTGGACACGAAGATTGCATGGCGCGAAATTGAAAATTGCCTTGAAATGTCTCAATAGTTTTGTCTGGGGTTGTAGGTAGTGACGCGCCATCAGTATGGAGTTTCTGTGCTCGTTTCTCAGACTTTATTTGGTGGGGAAACCATTATTGGTGCCACAAAATGTTGGTTTTAGCCACCATGCATAGAGCGGTTTTCATTTGAGTGTCGAAAAGTAATTGGTTTTGCACTTTCTACACGATGCGATTGGCTTAAAAGATTCGCGCCACCTTTTCATCCAATCAGAAGTAAAACCAAAGCCAATTGTGATGCGCTCGCATGCATTTTCCCGCGCTTTGCGTCAGCCACATGTAATTACTTCGAGTTTTGATTGGTTCAATGTATTGTCTGTGTCCTATGTGATTGGCCAGAGTAATTACTTTGGTTTTGGTTTTACGACACTCAAACGAAAACCACTCTATTGGAATAATGATGTATTTACTGAGATTCACAATGCAGATCTTGAGTTGGTTTTTAACAAATTAATGCTCAGTGATGTGGAAAAAAACCAAACAAACAGATAACAAAAAAACAACAACAACCCTTTAAGTGCATGTAAACAGAGTAGAAATACAGTGTAACCCTACCAGAGTAGCTTTTGTCCTCTCGCACTGACCACATCCTAAAGCACCAAGATTGTCCACCTGCTGAGCTCTGGGTGTTGCTTTCTTTTTGTAACTCTCTGCAAAAGTATGGACTCTTTAATCAACTTAACGCTATAAGTCCCAATATCAAGAAACATACAAATTATTCACTCTGATCTCCATACATTTCCTTGAAAAACTAGTTGAGAAAATTTGCTTTAAGATCAAAGCAAGTTCACTTTAGTGATGATTTTATTAATTCTTACAACCCAGCCTTGATCTTGTGCATGTATTTGATATAGTTAGGAGACAACTGACGTTGGTCACTCTTGGGTCTAAAAAGGTTAACACATAGATTTCACTTCAGTGTATACAGTGATTTTGTTACCTCTGCATCCTGTGTCCCTGATGCACAAAAATCCCCAAAGACGCAAAATAATTTGTGGTATGCATTCCGTAACTTGAAAGATCATTAATTGGATCAATATGAAGTATCCTGTTTGTGTGATTTCTGTGGCTGTTCTTGTAGCTGTTGCACAACGGCGCATATTTCTTTTAGTCTTTGTTGTGCTTGACAAAAGAAGGGGTATATTTTAATTTTTTTTCAGTGACTGTAATACGGAGTTTTGGAGTCCGTCTTTAGATTAACAGTGTGGTTACATGAAGACCCAGGGCTTTTGAATAGGGACTCAAAGGTTCTGGACTAGGACTCACGATGTTTTACAAGAATAGTCCCAGGACTCACCATAACTACCATTTGTAACAAAATCACTGTGTATACTCTTTACTGTTCAGTTTTAAATAACAAACTGAAAACAAACTAAGAAGAACAAGAAAGCAAACCATAAAAATCAACACCTCGCTAACCAATAATTGTAATTTTCTAACCACAACTATTCTTCACATAAGGACAACTGTGGGACACAAAAAGGAAATAATGTTGTTCTGCTTTGTTTTTGTTTAATACTCACCTAAGGGTTCATCTCCAAGGACTTTAATTCTCCTTTGAGGCTATAAAAACCAAGAAGCACAAACATGTAACTACACTACACATCCTTATTACAACTTGAACTTAAAAAACCCATTTTGTATATAATACACCGTCTGTAGCATCTCTCCTCAGTCTTCATCTCTGTTTTCAGCCTCTCTCCAGAGCTTTTGTTTGACTGTTCACGAGCACTTAAATACGCAAAAATATTGACTGTTTTGCAGTCTATCTATATTAAATAAGAGCAAATAATATTTAGGTGAAAGGCAAAACATTGCACTCACTTTATCAGTTTTTTGGTTCTTTTTCTTGAGTACATCTTGTACATGGTTGTTGAGGGGACCAGATTTTCCTGACACCCACCTTGTTCCACCTAGCTTCCTGTCAACAGATTAATGTAAACACTGAAAAAATGATTTGTTACTCCAGTGAAATAAGAAGTCTTCACTCTGTGGAAATAGTGCTTTCCCACCCGCATCTCATTTTATTTTAATATCTTTGATAGTAGATATGGTGGAGAAACTGTTTGGGTTGTCCAAAACAGTCCTTCCTCAACAACAACAACAACAAAACATGAGAAGATTCCACCAAACCAATGGTATCTACTGTAGGGTTCTTAATTGTCCCCTTTAAATTTGATAAGAAAGGAGGAAGGAGACAAGGACCGATACTAATGTCACCCAGGGCTTGAAAAAAACTTTAATTTATTCCACCTTGTCCTTTGGGCAAGCAGCCCTCACATTTTTACTCACCTGGGGCCACTTCTTGCATGTCTTAGTTGATGATTTTGTTAGACGATGACTTGCTGGGACCCTTTCCCATTCAGGAAGGAAGCTTTAAAAGTTACTTGCCTAGCAAGAAAATCTACTTATCACAAAATGCCAGATGGACTTTTTTCAAGCCCTGTCACCTCCCAAAAGACATATTCATTTGAACTGAACCCAGGTTCTAATCTCAGGTAGCATGATCTTATGGCGTTTTTCCTGACCTAGGATTGTGTTTTGGCGAGGTTTTAAACACGGCATCACCTTCTGCTCATCGTACACTCTGCTATTCCCTTCCAAAAAATTAGGAGCTTGTTTGGGACAAGTTTACAAAATCATAAACCCTCTTCAGGACAGCAGAACAAAAAAAATCTTGTCTTCAAATATGTCCCTTTATTATTTAAACACCAATGAAATACCAGGTGAGCTTTCGCGTGAAAACTTGATATCTTCACATGTGAAAATATCACCTTTGCTATGGCTACATAATAAATTGCGCCCTGCACACCAAAAAACTATTAAAGTGAAATGGTTTGGTATTTCATTGATGTTTATATAATAAATAGAACATTACATAGCCGCTTGGAGATACAACATTTCTCTTCTCGTGTTGAAAAAATGTTTCACGAGTGAGCGCATATTTTTCAACACTCGAACAGAAATTTCGTATCTCCACGTGGCCATGTAATATCCTCTATGTGTTACACCCAAGGGACAGGGACATTCTTTGAAGACTATGATGTTACAGATTCCAACAGTTTGACACTTACTCTCGTTCTTCTTTCTCTTTGAACATTTGTTCTTTCAATGCACGAATCCTCTCCTCCATTTTCTTTGTTTCAACCTCCAGTTGCTGAGCAGTGTTGCTTTTAAGCTGTCTAACAGCCCTGTGTTGAAGCAAAAATATTAGTCACGATGGCAACAGCAACAACGTCACATCAAAACCTGGATTTAGATTTTGAAATCCTGATTTTTGATTTTGCAATCAAATGCTAAATCTGAAAAGGGGTTTTACCTCTGAGAATTCAGTCCTCAAGATGGATTGTGTAATTTTGCTTTCCTTCTCTATCATTTGATTGGAATGCAAAAAAGGATTTGCAAAACTGTTCTCATGAAATAGTCTCCTTTTTTTCTGCTAAGAATGTGTATGCATCTGCAAGAAAACCGTGCCTGTAAACAGTTTTTTTTCAAATCCTTTCTCAGATTTCCCAAAAAAAAGGAAAGAAAGAAAATCCAAAGACACATTTCTCAGCGTTGAAATCTGTTTTTCAGATTGTGCCTTCGATTGCAGACCCAAATTCTGGATTTCAAAATTTAATCCATATTTCCCTGTAATTCAACAATGTACGTTTCCTTGTCAACAAATTATGTTAGATTGCATGGATACTGTTGAATTCATATCTATACTAAATCTAAAGATATTACATTTCTTGCTATTTCGTCGGCAAATAAATCAAGAAATACAATACACTTTAAAATTAAATAGACTTAATTGAAAAGATTCTTGAAATGTGTTTAAACAAAAAGGTGCTTTCAAGTCAAATACCAACCACAAGAAACTCGAGTTTCTGCAATCAAGTGGACCTTCAAAAACGGTTATATCGAGAAATAGCGGAGAAATAGAAAAAAAATTGTAGAAAAGTAGCAGAAGAAAAAAGAAAACAATGAAAAATATTTGTAATCTTTTTATGTACACGTACATACATCGAGCTGATCATATTTTAAAACCTAAAAATCGAAACAAAAGTAAGATTGTATTTTATGAGAGTGTACGTGAGCTTAAACCAAGTCCAGAGCAAAAAAGATTGAAGTTCAAAGATTCTCATATTTCCATTTAATGTTTCGATGTTGCAATGAGCTGGTCGAAATCGTTTAAATTGAATCACTGGATTAAAGAAAATTGAGAAAGGGATTTGTGAAGCTATAGACGTAGACCACTTACTTTTTTCTGGCCTTTATGTACGAGGCTTCGTAAGACATCCTTGAACTTAAGGTCATCCCAACCAACAAAAAAGAATCCAAAAGAAATCTTTAGACTCTAAATTATACAACAAAACCATAAACGGGAAAGCGAGGCACTTCTTTCATTTGCTCCTCGTTTTGAAAGTGTGTTGATGTATGTTTGGAGAAGACTGTCATGGCCGACTCACATCACGTGACCAATGTGATGCTACCATGACAACAGTAAAAAGGAAAAAAATGGCGGGAAAAGGTGTTTCCGGCAGGAAGGGAAGTGAAAGGGGAAAATGTCAAAAATAAGGAAAACAGGAAGAGAAAAAAACAAAAAAACAAAAAAAAAAATGGAATTTTCGGCCACCCTACTCACAGGTGCTTCCTCTGTTGCTGCTTTTGTTTTCCATCTGTTTCTTCTTTTATTTTTCAAGTCGCACAGAAGTTTAAAATGTTTGTTCAGTACACAGAAAAAACTAACGGATTCCCATTTTTAGATATTTTACGGTATTTAAAGAATACCCATAAAAATCCCAAATTTGGCAAAATGAGACAAGTCCCAACCAGGGAATTCCCAACTAAGTTCCCTGGTTGGGACTTGTCTCACTCTTCCAAATTTGGGATCTTTTTGGGTATTCTTTAAATACCCAGTAAAATATCCAAAAATGGGAATCCGTTATTTTTTCCTGGGGTACATGTTAATCCACAGGTTACTTCATCTTTTTCTCTATTCTTCAAGTCGTGCAGAAGTTTGAACAATGCATATTTTACATGTTTTAAATCCACAAAATACTAACAGGCCACCAGACTCTTTGGGATGTGTGTGACCAACAAAATACGTCCTAACAAATTTCTGCATTGGTGTTTTTTCTACTGTCTTACTGTGTTACCGTCTGTTTTTCTTTTTCGCTTGTAAGCATTAATTTTCTTTAGAATAAAAATAATAATTTATCCTCCTCCTCCTCTGCCTCCTTCTTCTTCTTGTTGGTATTATAATGACCGTTCTCAAACAGACTTGTCTACCCAGTATAACACATCTCTCTTGCCCAAGAAAAATTCAAGGACCATAAAACTCAGCAAAAACAGTACTTTTATTTTCAATTTATGAATATACAAAACTTAGTTTGCATAGTTAAATAAAATCTAGAGAAGAGGGACAATATGCAGGTACTACACAGTGTCCGGACAGGAAAATAAATATTATGACTTAGAGAGCTTCTTTTTGTTTAAGAATTTCTTCAAATCTATCAAGTTCTGCCATGGCTTCTGCAGCTTCTTCATCCTCTTCACTGGATTCCCTTTAAAATTAAACAAGAAGAAATTAAATATAAACAACAGTGCACCCAATGATATTATCATTGTCATTTATTTATTAGATATTTAGGAATGGATAAATGCTTAAATCAGTCTTTCTCTATCAGTTTTACTTACGACATGTCAAGGAAGTCGTCTCTTTGTCGGCGATGTGAAATTTCTTCCTTCTACAAAAAGAACATACGTATCATATGAAACCGACTTATACATTAAATTACCAGTGAAAATAAACAATATTTAAACAAATAAATTTTTAGAAAAACCAAGGGAGAGTGAGGGGGGGGGGGGGGGGGTACAAAAAAAAAAAATTCAAATTATTTTTTTGGGTTTTCCCACCCCCCCCCAAGGGGGGCCTGGGGGAGGGGGTTGAAGAAAATCCCCTTTTTTTATTTTATTTTTTTTTTTTTTTTTTTATTATTGATAAAAAAAAT